AATAATCCTGAAATTAATAAATAAATAATGGACAAAAACCTTACAAAATTCTCTTTTTGCTTTTCATATGCCAGCTTTCAAAGAGGCAATTTTCTTTATTGTAGCAGAAGTCAGAGGAATTAACTTTAAAAAAAAATTGTTAATAGAAAACTTCAAGCTACAAATCTCCTGCTGCAGCTCCACAGAAAGCTATTGGTTAGCTCCTAGGAGATTCCTGATTTTGTACCATAGTGAACAGATAAAGTGAAAAAAAACAGGTCAGAGGTGGATACAGACTCTCTCAATCAGGAAGAAAAAATAAGCAAACAAACTAGCAATGAACAGGCTAAGCATGAAAAAATGTAAACAGACAAGCAACTGTAACACCAAACCGAGTCATTTATTGCCTCTCTACTACTTAAATAAGGCCTTTGGCAAGTATTAGGGACAAAGCAGTACATTTCCTCAGTGCTGAAACTGGTAGTCTCAGAGGAGACAAATTAAAGGTCCTGCCAGCCAGGCTGATAAGAATCAGCTAAAGAGAGGAAAAGGTACTCTTGAGGTTAGGAGTCTTATCAATACTAACATTATCTAAGGCCTGCAGCACTGCCAGGTCTCGTGACATTTCCAACACATTTTCTAAAAAGAACAGCAAATAAAGCTCTTTTCCAACAGGGCAGAAATCTAACATGTAGGCTATCTTATGCCTTCCATATGGTGATAAAAGTCCACTTCTATAACTTTTCTGCCACAGCAAGATTATGATTTCTGAGTTTGCCCACAGAGTTTCTCATTTTATTCACTTTGAAACTGACTCCTGCAAGCCTTACATGTCAGTCTTGTACTGGCCAAGACAGAAAACATTTGATTTTCCTCTGCCCCTTTGATCCATCATTCAAGGCTCTGAATTTGCAATACTCCAAAACTCTGAACCCATCAAATGTGATCAAACCCATCAAATGCTGGTAGGTGGGTGAACTGCAACAATCAGCAAAATATCTCACAGAAGACAAACACAATTTGTGAAGTCATGATCTGCAATGCCTGGCATGGCTAAGATTCCTGAGATTTCTCAAGAGTCATAAGGAAAACCAAGAACTCTGGTACAATCCAAAAGCACACTTCTGTTTATTCATTACTTCTACAAGCTGGACAGGGACATCATAGGAGGACAAAGTACAGTCATGGGATTAACCCCCATTGTTTTGTATCAGGTTCTGTTCTCAGGAGAGAAACTGACAATAAGTACATTCACTTGCTCAGACATACATGTTAGACTATTCATACAATACCCTAAATAAATAGCCACACTCTAAGGGCACCAAGCACATTTACACAAATTCTCAAAAAACTAACTCCAGTTAATGCTGGCCTACATTAAATCCATATCCTTTTGCTATTGTACCACTGCACCTTCCTTGTTCTTACACAATATTTACTATAACCAGCACCATAGGCCTTGACTACATTCACCTTAAAGCAGGAGTCATTGCTTCTTTGTGTGTTTCAACAGCTACCAAAGGAGTCTCACACTGATTACAGTTCCTGGGAAGCTTGTACTTTAGGCTGTGTTGTATTTATCTGCCAACAAACCCAGTTATATTTCTAAGATAAACACTGTTTCTGTGTCTTGAACATGGCAGCATCCAAATTATCTTCAACACTGAGTTGCAAGCTAGTATTTAAATTATAATTTACTGGTTTATTCCTCTTGATAACCATTTTTCAGTTAGAATTTTGCTTTTGGAGTTTAATTAATATATGTTAACTGCTTGAAAGAGGATAAAATCAAACGTGCATTTAGCAACTTTATACCATCCCGTGTTATACCATAAGAAGCCTCTGTCTTTACAAAAAATTGCTGATTTTATCACATGGAGGTCAGTGGTTATCATCACACTTACAATGAATTTCAGATATTCCAACATATGTATAATCAACATGTGAATCCTTTTTTTTTTTAACTACAATATCAACAAATTAAGGAAGTGGGAAGTGGTATCTACAAACAGTTTGAGTGTTGTATGCTTGTGTCTGCAGTCACATTCATACACTCACAATTGGTAATACTTCAATACTAAATTCACCCTATATTGTCTGTCTACATGCTCAAAGCTTGGGCAACATTAAATACTCAGTTGCTGCCCCTGCAGCTTCCATACAATGCACTTCCACAAGGCTTGCACCTAACTGAATTTGCTCTTACATGAGAATGCATTTCTTTAGTGTATCATTCTCAGCAGACTACACAGGCTCAGAGCAGCAGCTTCTGAGTATTTTTATTGGGGGGGAGCAGGTCACACTTTATACTGGCACAAATGCTTGGTTTTCACAGCTTCTGTCACCACTGACAGCACTTTCAGGTAGGTGCAAGCAATGTCATAAACAAACAAGAGCCACATACACATATTTGGATTTAAATTGCTTGCTCATCCTCATATAGGACCAAGGAAAGCCAATCCTCATTTCTCTTTTCCTTTAGCTTAGTGTCTTATTTGCTATGCTCCTTTTACTTTTAGCATAAACCAGCCTTCAGGCACTAAACAACACTAGTTGAATCACCAAGCACTGTTTATCACAAGCTCTAAACAAATAGATTTCTGTATGGAAAAACTGATCTAAAATGATCAAATGCAAAAGGAACTCAAATTTAGTTTAAGAGAACTTGTCTCACATACATCTTGATTCCTGAATATTTTGACTGTAAACATCATTCAAGATATTATAGATACTGAAGATTTTTCATGGGCTCAACCAACAGGGACACTTCATAGACGAAAAATCCACAAGGTCCTGTTAGGTAAAACACCATAAGTTGTGGTTCTAGAACTCTCTGAGCTGTGAATCACTAAAGGCTGGAAGAAGCTGGAACAGATTCCTCAGAAAGGAGGCAGGTGCTCATCTCTGCAAACCTCCATGGTTAGGTTGGACAGGGGTCTGAGCAAGCTGTTTTAGTTGGAGATGGCCCTGCTCATTGCAGGGGTGCTGGACTAGGTGAGCTTTAATGATCCCTTTCAAACCAAACTGTTCTATGATTCTATGAGAAGTATTCTGGGGAGGGACCATTGTGCTTCTACACTGCTCTCACTCTCATCTCAAGATATCTGCTGCTGACCACCACTGACAGGACACCAGCCAGATGAACTTAGGTGTGATCCAGTATCACTCACAATCTCTCTCAAACAGCATCATGTAGAGTAGCAACACTATCATGGCATTTCTAGGTGGTTTACAAGTATCCCAATAATAAATGTGATTAAAAATGTCACACATAATACTAAGGATTTACAACCTTAATTCCAAAGTTTGACAGCACCTTGCCAATGTAAACATCTTTTAAAGATGTAAATCAAATGGTTTTGGAATGTCATACCTCATTTACTTTCTTTACTTACTAACTATGACTAAACCTTACATATTTTAATTTAGTAAGATCCAAAAGGATCTTCTTATGCTAACATGCTAAATAAAAACATAAAAGACATCATCTTTGCCTCAAAAGCACTTGATGTAGGCAAAGAAACAGCAGATTAACAGAAAAAATAAATACTACATAGCCTGAATTATCTGAGAGGTAGTTTGGAAAAGGTCATCTGAGTTCCACAATGATTTTGAGAAAACAGTGAATAAGCAAATAGTGTAACTGATGGCTGAGAGTCCTCCTTTATGTGCCCCATGGTAACCAAATACCATGACTCAGAGAGTGAATCCATATCCAGTTTGATTCCATAAAATGGGTTTAGAACTTATCTTGTCAGCATATTTAAACAGCTCACACCATACAGTAATTAATTCTTCTGGCTGAAGCAAAAATACAAACAACTGAACACGTGGCCATCTTACACAACATTCACAGAACACGGAGGAGGCACCAAGTGAAGAGAGACAATTCAGCCATTCAAACACAAATGAAAACAAAACAAAACCAAGAGTGCACCCTTGCAACTAAAAAAAAAACTAAATGGAAGTATCAAAATTCTGATTCATTTCAGCAGCTAAAATCTCAATATCTGATTTACATGAGACACTGCATAGCCGTGAATCTCAGTCTTGCAGTGGTATAAAATGCCAATCACTAGGAAGTACTCCTTCTTACCTTAAAACTGCACCACAATTCACACAGAATCAGACTGAACAGGTTTTACCAATTAAATAGGAATTGCAAGCTATAAAACACACCTTGGATTCAGTACAAGTCTGCAGACTAACACCAGCCTTCTGACATGCTTAGGCCAGTGTAATAGAAGGAATCTCCATTTTACAAAAAATTCCCTGCTACAGAAAACAAAACCCAAACCCTACCTCTAGCTAGACACAAACTATACACTTTTGACAGTATCTGATGCTGAAAGGCAATTCAAAGATGTCAGATACTAGAAAAAACAGACATCTCCATGTTTAATTGTCCAAAAAGTACCTTCGAGAAGACATTTCAAACACCCACTAGCATTAGAGTTTTGTTTAGGAAATTCTTTCAAGGAAAAGTAGGAGTTTGAAACTCTTTCATACCTTTCACATGAGCCATCTCCTCTCTGTGCCATTACCACGTAACAACTGCACTCCAGTCCCAATACTATTTCATCCATGTGCACCAGAGATAATACTACTTTTTATGGACTATTTTTATGACTGCTTAGTTTATGCAATTGAAATCAAGTAAAAAAGATCTGAAAATGTGTCACAAACTTTCCAACCTAAAGAAAAAAATTCAAACTAAAGCTAGACAATCAACAAATTGAAACAAAAAAAAATCTAAAACAACATTGCAAAGAACATTACATTCTAAACCTCTCCCTCATCAATCATTTTATTCCCCTTCTTTTAAATAAAAAATAGTAATAATTTAAACTTTTGGGCACAGCAGATAAACAGTTATGAAGTTATTTTTTAATGTTATGATATTCTACAAAATATTTTTAAAAGGCACTTTTTTAAATTTACCAATTTCTTAAGAAGCAAAACTGGATATCTGCAGTAATAAGTAATTTCTTAAGTGCTTCAAAGAAAATGTCTGTACTCACCAGTGCTGCCACTTTCTGATTTTTCTTCTGATTGGTTTTCTGGGAAAAAAAGTAAACAGAAAAGTAATCACAATGTTTCAGCGTTGATTATTTGAAATTACATCCAACAACTGGGTTGCAAAGTAAAGAATGATAGATTAAGATAAAATCAAAATCACTGGATTTGATTAATGTTTATAAATATACCTTCTGAGGAATAATTTGCTACCAGGAGCAACAAAAAAGTCCTTTAGTGCCCAAACTCCCTCACAACTTAAATGAGAGAATTCTACTGCACCTCTGACTGAGCTCTGCAAGAACAAAGTTACACATTTATATAAAATCAGTAGCAGGATTATGCTCAAGCAATGTACATTATTCATTTATCTCACTGGTTAGCCTAGACAAAATTTTTGGTTATTACAAAAATAATCAGGGTTCTGCAAAAGAATGTTGTTAATTGGCATTAGGTAATTTTTTGATCTTGATCAACCTCTTCTCTACTCTTTTTACAGGCAATGGAAGAATTTATTTCTTCAAGCTTTTTCCTCTCTGATTATTTGTCCTACAACGATACTATGGTCCATTGGTATTTTTGTCAAGTACAACAAATACATATAATCAGAAATATCTCCTGTTCCATGCAGCAGAGAATCATACCTAGGAAACAGACACAGTGTTGCAAAGTGACTTGCTAAAAAATTATCACTCTGGTGAATGGCAGAGTCAGATTCAGAAGCAGCTTTCTGCAAGAAATTCCAATCCCACATTTCAAGAAATGGCTGCCAGTAGATGTATTGCGGTAACCTGAGTTACAACCCCACCAAGCCCTGTAAGATTAAACCCCTCCATTAATTTGTCAGTATTATATTTGACTGTTCCTCCTGTATTTCTCCTTTTCATGCATCCTCTGATGCAGAGAACAAAAAGAACATTTTCACTTCCCTGAAACACAGAAATGGCAAAACATACTTGTCCTTTGCTTTCAACTCAGGCAAGTTACAGCTGTCATTACAAGCTATTTACTTACAGGCAAGAGTGAATTACTGCTCTAACTCAGAGAGTAATTTTCAAGTTCAGTTAGGTTGATAATTTTTGCCATTTACAGGCTGGGCATTAAAAGAACTGAAAACATGAAATATTTTAGAAAACCTTTTTCTTGCTGGCTTTGAAGGCTTCTGTCCCTCTTTTCTCATTGAGATGGCTTGAGAGCCTGAGGACTAAATGCAAACATAAAAACCAGTATCTTCCAGCTCCTTCTTTCTTTACACCAGGTGGCTGTCATTAGTCTCAGCAGCTGAAGGCACCTGCTTTCTCTACGAGAAACAATCATTATATGGCTCCTTCCCAGCTATGAGTATTCACAAAGTGAGTAAAAATCCCTGCCAACTTTCAGACGTACATCCAGGATAGCCTGTTTGCAGAAAACCGAGTATTTTCTCATTGATGTAATTTTTTGTGCATATTTGGCAGATTTACAGCATGACTTAAAATAAATGCCCAATTCCTAACTCAATCGTAGCTTAATGAAGGAAACATTCAGTACACACACAAGAAGCAGAGAGGATGAAATGAAGAACATACAAACATACAAAGATACAAACACCTGTCTGAAGTGAGAAGCAAGATGGAACTGGATTAAAGCTGTTTAATTCCAACTCTGTTTCAATGGAAGACCTGAGTTGCCTCACCAAAACTATTGCCAAATACATCACACTTGAACATTGCTAAGAGCATCTCTGATTCAAATGGCAATAAAGGTACTTCATATCTACAGGGAAAGTGTGTGTGTTTGTATCTGTCCTCAACAGCAGGGACAAAAAACCAGACAAAATTCAAGTAAGAAAGTGTCATTTTTCTTCCTCATCATTAGACAACTCAGTTTTGTTATGATTAGGTCACAAGTTCTGCTTTAAAAATCTTCTCAGCATTAATATAATGAAGAAGGTAAAGGCAGTTGTACTACATCTACTGAATATACTTAATTAATGCAGACCACAGCTGCTCAGCCTCCTCTACAACATGCAGGAGTTGACAAACATCAACAGATTTGGGCTGGTTAGTTGGGGCTTTTTGTTGTTAGTGGGCTTTTTCCTGTCATTGTGGCAGTGGGTGGTAGTAGGATGTTGGTTTTTTACATATACATCAGTGAGACTGGAAACAAAAGGTATTTTAAATCAATGAAGTTTGCAAAAAGACTCTTCCCATCACACAGAGCCCATTCTAACAGACCTTGTATTTTGTGTGTTATATCCTCAATTGTTTAAATTTTTACAGGAATTAACAGTCTATAGTTTTAATAACAGAAATGAAAATAAAATTAGCTTATCCCTGCCAGCCAGCTGAACCTGCTTTACAGTACATTTTTTACCCTCCAACAAGCATAAGTAATTAAATAAATATCATTTCCATTTTTTTGAAATGGAGAAGGGGTGTGATGCAAGCAACTGCAATTGTTTTCTAAATGGACTGTATGTCTCAATAATACACACAAAATTTTGAGCCATCAAAGTGATATCTGTAATTAAACTAGCTTGAGGCTCAAATTCTCCTTTTCTGATCAGGGTTTTAATCTTCATGATTCTTAAAAATATTTGGAAATGTGCAAAATGCCATAGTTTTGAAAGGCTGCTGTTGCTTCTATTACTTTTGATCATGAGGCTGCTGATAGGTTTTCTGCTTCTGCTAACAGTCCAGAAAAGACGTACAAAACAGAAGTACAAAAACTGAAGTACAAAACAGAACAAAGAAGCATTAGGTTAGATCCCAAAATCTTCTGGAGACTGGACTATGTGGTGAAGTGACAGCCTGAACAGAAATAATTGGAAAGTACTGTTAATGTAGACAGGTGAATGTCAAAACTCCTCATCAGGCTGCACTAAGACGGCAGAACAGTGAGGGTGTTTATTTCCTAAATAGCAGTCTGATGAGGAATTTCAGAATTCAGACACTTACCTAACAGAACTGGAAACAGTATTACAAGGCATCAAGATTCTGAGCACACTGTATTTTACTGAGAATAATTAAGTGCAATTAAAGAAGAAACTGCTTTAATGAAAGGTTTTTATTAGGGTTTGTTCCCTTCACATTTCTTTAATGGCTGAACATAGCTGATATTTTAAAATCTATATATATACAAAATACAGAATAAAAACCTCTGAATATTCATTTTGGTGGAACACAACTGCACATTGTATGTTATATGGTAGGTGTGATTCATGTACGAACTCAGAAAAGGTCCTTTCATATATGAGAAGCTGTATAAAGGAGAAAACCCCAACAATTCAAAACAATGGGAGAATTTTCAAGGAATGAGGGAATAAAGGAGCTGTTCTTGGGTACATAGGCAGCGTTACGTGAATTATTGAACAAGAACACAAAAAATAATTGAGTGTCGCTAATTGAATTTCTGAAGGAGAGAAGGCTCAGGAAACTGAAGAAAAACAAAGGATTAAAAGCCAGCAATGTTCTGTGAAGCATGAAGCAGTGAGACAATCCATGGCTGAATGCTGCTCAGAAGCAAAGCTCTGATATGTGTTCTGTCAATGGAATTCTCTGAACACTTTTTACTTTCAGTAAGATGGAAACAGCATGAAAGATGCAAAAATAGACATTACGGCTATCCCACTTATGGAGGGGGAGTTGTGAAGATATATTCAAAATTTAAATAAAATGAATCATCTTATCCAACTTTACAGAAATATCTTACACTTTATCTGTGTCTACAGTGTAAAATCTTCTCCTCTACCCATCAGTCCTTTACAGTCTGGGATGCAATTGCCTGCCAAGCTCTGTGTTTTCACAACTCATATTAGTAGCACATTTTTCCAAAAACCAGTTCAATAAGAAACTTTTATCATTATCTCTAGCAAAGCTGCAATTTTATTTCCATGAAGATCCAGCAAACCTAAACTATGTGTGGGCAGAAAAAATTAAGCAATGGGCAATTAAAGTAGTAAGGAAAGCAATGTATAATCATAATCAGAAAAGTCTGCAGTTAAATGTTTAACAAAAGTGTCTTCCCATTCCTTCAATGAGGAAAGAAACTGTTAAATTACAGTATTATCTTATGTTAGGATGTCTGCCAGCAGGAAGCTCAGAAAATAATTTTAACCAAATATACCCTATGTATCAGACCCATGAATTGCCCCTAGATGGTTTCTAGCTATATGCACATATGAAGAATTCATTTTGTTCAATAAGACACATTAAAATATATGCAAAATCTTCTGCTTCTCACCCGCCAAAAAACCACAGCTATGACAGCTGATGACAAAGATGAGATAAAACGACTGGAAGCACAAATAGCATTGTAGCATAGCAACTGTTGATGTACATATGGTGATGTTTATGGAACAGAATGTAGTTCATATTTAATGCAGAAATAACACCAAAATCAGCCTAGACAGCAAGACCTAGACAGCAAGAGACAAGTGTGCTTTGGATCCCTCTGCAGATATGACAGAAGCCATGCTTCCCACCAGCTCTGCTACACTCATGCTCAGGAACGCCACCACAGGCCTCAGTGATCTGCCCAGCAAGCAGACAATGCAATGTTCACATGTGCAACAGCCTTGCAAAGGGACTTCGCAACTAGCACCATCAGAGTACTCAGTATTATTCACCAGGGCTATTTCAAATCACAGAAAAAGGAAAAGAAAATAAATGGGAGAAATCCCAGAGCTAATCCAAGCAGAAGATGTAGCACGTGTGAAAGCCAGCACAGGCCAGATTTTTAACAGTATCTGGGATGGAAGGCACTTTACCAAGCTTGCTTTTAGCTCAGATCCACATTTTGGACACAATAAATTGCACCTTAGAAGAGTCTGCTGCGCATTAAGAAATATGGGACCACCAGAGATTCAGACATTTACAATGAAAGAACTAAAGGATTTCTCCCAACACTACAAGTAGGAGAAGCATAGTTCAGTTAAGACAAAGCAAAATAAAACCTACAGAAAATCCATTCAGAAGACTAGAAATTACATCATGCAAAAAATATTAAATTACTTGTCAAATTTGATCTTTTTTGCTTGCTCTAAACGACCTGATGAGTCAATGTGAAGTGCTGAATTATCCAGAATATATAAACTGCCTACAGCATCTTCCAAGATCACAGCATATTTCAGAAAAGCCATCAAAAAGACAGTCACTCCAACACAAGGATCCCAGTGTTAAAGGACAACATAGAGAATAGATCTTAGGATATTCAATGTGTTTACAAAATGGTGGAGGGGGGAAAAAAATCACAAACCCGTAATCAAACAAAAACCCCACCCTGTACAAAACAAACCCAACTGCTTTATGCCATTTGCTCTGGTTGACTTGAGTCAGTCCTCAATAAGGGTATTGACTGAGAGCAGTAGTGCATGAAGCACTTTTTGTCCATATTTCATTTGCCTAATTCTTCAATTGCACCCTTCTAGATAACATCTGCAGTTCCATACCAGTTTAATCTTTGGCCCATGGCTGAAACTGATATATTGCTTGTGTTACATGGTGCAGATTAAAAAAAGAAAAAGGACACAACATGCTTTTCAGAAAAAATATGCTAATTATAATATGAAGATTCATACTGATCTGTGAACCTAGGAATGAATGAATTTCAATTTGTTATTATTGTCTTACTCTGGAATGACTGATGTGCAGAGATATGTAAATTCTTACTGACTGTGTTTTCATGGTCAGTCTAGTGGGTTTTTCCATGGGGATTTTCTGGCATCCAATACAGCAGCAGCCTTTTCTTCAGTTGGGACATCTGTACAGTCCACCCTTCAGACACCTTTTTTCCCACCAGCCATAGTTCACTTTGAAATTTGTTGAAAATGGACATGGAGCTCAAAACAGGCCTACACATTTAAGCACATGAGTGTAACCTCAGAAATAAGATGCCTGTAAGGAATCTGACTGGAATTTGGAATATTTGTGTCATGTTCATTTTGCAAAACAAAGAAATTCAAGCAAGAAAAGCACAGTAAAGTACATTTTTGAGTGTACTGTCACTGTACCAACTTAAACACAAGAGCAGAATATTTTAGCCATTTTGCATTTAAATTAGTTTCAGGAAAACTCACTGACTGTATGTTATGCTTGCTAATCTCAAACAAAAACAATTTTGACAAACAGCATTGACAGGGTCTATGCTTAGTCAGTGCTTCTTCCCAATCATTTCTCATGTAACTAACCACCCTTTGCTCCCAGTTAAAATAATAATTTCTACTCAGTAAATCCACAGTCCTCAAATAACCCTTTCTACTTGCTGGGAAATGCACAAGGTTTAACTGATTAAATTTTAAAAAATGAACAGAGGAAAAATCAGCATTCTTACAGAATTGTATTCACAGCAGAGACCAATTAAGGAGAAAAAACCAAATACTAGTTCATACAAAAAATTCGTGGGAACACAAAACCATGCTTTTTCAGTCAAAACCCTAAAGGAGAATGTACACAATGTACTGCACTCTGCACTGCATTCCACATTCCCCCTGCTCTCTCCAGCAGACTCAGAGATAAAATGTACATGATAACCCCAGAGAACTTAAATCAGCTGTTCAATCACACAAGTAAACAGACAGACACAAAAAAATTACAACAGCGTTATCTACGCAGAAAACACCAAAATCTTACTTACAAGTCTTCTATCTTTTACAGCACTGAATTATTGAAAGCAGACATACTGGAAAAGTCATAACAACTTTAATTCTAACTTACCTACTGAAGTTTCTGTGAACACTGTTAAGGTCTGTCCTCCCACACTTTGCAGAAGAAATGGATGTTCCCTTGGTGCACTGACTGAAGCAGGCTTTCCTCCAATATCACTGATGCTTGCAAGCTCTTCATTCAAAGTAAATGACACCTAACAGTCACAATTGCCACAGTGTTACCAAACAGACTCAATTACACTGTTTCCCAAGTTATGGGGAAACAAAAAGAGAGAAAACACAAGTAGTATAGCATATTTCTATTTCAAAAATAAAGAGTAATATAAGAGTCCTTCCACACTGATCTCTTGTCGAAATACAGAATTCAAAGCTTTCATGTTCTAAATGAAATTTACTCAGCTTTCAAAAAGTTGTAAATTACCTCCTCCTGAAGTCAGAGAACAACTTGATTTTACTTGTTAAAATACATGGCATAACAAGTTTTCAGCCATTGCTCAGTATGAGTGCTGAAAAATGTTTTGCACAGCCAGCTGAGTTCCAGAAAAAGTGCTGAAGTACCACACCAAGTGCTACTAGCATGGGACTCCTGAATTGCATATAGCCCAGAAGAGGCTTAAACACAGCTCCTTTGCCATGTTCACATTGTACACTCAATAGAGAAGCTAAGGAAGCTTGAAGAGGGATACTTCACACCAGCACCACATGCTTTTCCTGTGCATCCTCCTCAGCCTTTTGTACTAACACATCTCAAAGTGTCTGAAGAGAAGGTAAACAAAGTGAGGGAACAGAGAGACCTGATGCAAGTTACACAGGCATCTATGGGCAGAGCTACTAACAGAATTCTCTCTTCCTGATTCTGTGGTACAATGCTTTGCTAGAGGTATAACAAGAAATAAGTGACATGAGAAACCAGCACATTTTAAACACTTCTTAGAATTCAAAGCATAAACTTTAGCAATTACTTACTTCTGTTCTTCCTTGATTTCTGAAAAAGAAAATATTTAATATTTAATAAATATATAAATATTTATTATAATAACTAATTATATAAATATTAAAAATATTTAATGTTTCCATAGCCTAATTCCTCAAGTTTAGCTTTCCTGATTAAAAAAAACCAAATTCAAATTCTAGGTTTTTTATTTATCTTCAGGGCTATTCAAATTTTTGTTATGCTGATGCCCAAGAATAAATAGGAAAAGTCAGCATGTGAAAACAGAAGCAGCAAAATAAGACATGTAAATAAAACCAAATTCTGCAATTAGGTTTCCTTAAACCTAGGAAATCAAACCTCCTGTAGCCCGACAGAGTGACTCCCCAGTATAATTTTGTACAATTTATATTCCTAATCACTACACAAGCAAACACTGATCATATATCAGAGAAATATGCACACTATTGGCAACAAAGAGGATTATGACTTAGAACAGGTGCAACATATTCTTATTTTACATAGGTAATTCTAAGAAATGCAACCAGTAAATGTAAAGGCTTACTTGACAATCCTTAGTTTTCCCACTTCACCTCTTCCTGAAGCTTTACTCCACTGTTGTGACAAGTATTTGGGGACCTAAGAGAAGACAACAGAATTCAAGAAGAGCAGATTTTAAAATAACATATAAACTGTGTATGGGTAAATACTTTAAATGCTTTTACCTTGACCACTTCAGAAGAAAATATGAGCTAAATATAGTAGACATTAGAGAGCCATAGACGGTTTTGATTGGCAGGGGCCCTAATAGACATCAAGTCCAAACCCCCTGCAATGAGCAAGGACATCTGCAATTAGATCAGTTTGCTCAGAGTTCTATCCAACCTGACCTTGAATGCTTCCAGGGATGCCACATCCACAACTTGTCTGGGCAACCTGTGCCAGTGCCTCACCACTCTCATTATAAAACATTCCTTCCTTACATCTAGCCTAAATCCACCCTCCTTTCACTTAAACCCATTACTCCTTGTCCAACTGCTATAGGCCCTACTAAAAACTGTTCCCATCTTTCTCACCAGCTCCCTTGAGGAGCTGGAAGGCACCTGTAAGGTGTCCCTGGAGCCTTTTCCTCTCCAGGCTGAGCAGACCCAGCTCTCTCCATCTGTCTTCACAGAAGAGGTGCTCCAGCTCTCTGATCATCTTTGGGGTCTCCTTCGCACCTGCTACAGCATGTCCACATCCTTCTTATGCTGGGGGCCCCAGAGCAGGACACAGCAATCCAGGGGGATCTCATCAGAGCAGAAGGACAGAATCCCCTCCTGTGATTTTCTGCCCACACTGCTTTTGTGGCAGCCCTGGACAGAATTGCCTTTCTGGGCTGCAAGTGCACATTGCCAGGTCACATCCAGCCTCCCACCTACCAGCACTCCCAAGTCCTTGTCCTCAGAGCTGCTCTCAGTCTTTCCTCTGATACTCTCCACTGATACTGGGGGTTACCCCAACTCAAGTGCAGGACCTTGTGCTTGGCCTTGTTGAACTTTATGAAGCTCATACAAGCCCACTTCACGAGCTGTTATATAGACATACATGCACACATGTACATAAATACACATATGTGTATATATACTCAGAGAGAGCAAAGAGAATAATGTAGCACAAAAAATAACACCAATGTAGAGTCTCAAATGAGAGAAAAATCTTAGTAACTTCAATCTCAAATGCTACTATCCAATCATAAAAGGCAGAAAAAGATCAGCATCAAATTCTTAAACTAAGGAGTGTCAATATTTTATCAGATAAAATTGTACTTTTAAATATTCATTAGAAATTATCATCTCTCTGGGAAAAAAAAATCAACTAACCAATCACAGTGATGAGAAGTTAGGCAATTTCTGGAGTGAAGGGAAGGCTTACAGTCAGGGAACCTCAAACATGTTGAGCAGTAAACCACAGTCTACTGCCACTCCTCCAACAGCAGAACCACGCTAGGCAAATCTGCCTCCCATCACTCATTCGCAGCTCTTCACTGCATTGAGCAAAGTCTTTGTGCAGCTGGCCAGTATGTGGAAAGAGCAGACTGATCTAGCTAGGAGGAGTGGGTGACTTCTATGTTTTAGTTGGGATGATTTTGTGTTTAGCAGGTGGAACAACCAAAGCAGCTCCCCAAGCTATTTTCCAGAACAGCTGCACAAAGTCGTGATTATTCCAGGGACAGAAACAAGACCTGAATAAATGGAGAATTAAAAGCTGCTGCAGTGCTGTTACCTCACCTACACACCAATTCCTTCAGCTGCAAAGGCTGTAGTATCTGCAGCATCGGGTGACCTGGGCTCAAAACGTACAATAAAGGCCTCTGGCAAGCAGCACACTCCTCAGAACTTCACAGCCATGTTCTTTACTGGCACAGCAAAGTTTGTCCTGGCTCACGCAGTCCAGAGCTACTGGAAACATCTGTGCCCACGTGGAAAAACAGTGTGAGGCACAGCCAGTAGTGAAGAGAGATACACTAAGATATGCCTGCGGCATTTTCTTTTTCAAGCAGCAAAGAAGCACTTGGAAGCCTAATTTTTGTCTTGCACAGAGTAAAACTAAACAAAGCTGAGGAGAAAAGGAGTCTGTTCCAATAACTTACTGGCAAAGAACAACCTCCTAACTTCCTGAAGCTCAAATTAAGTTAACACTACCTTTGCAGTTATCAGTTCTTCAAGAACTCCAGCTCTTGGAACTGGGGCTTAGTTAGTACTTTTAGCTTTAGACTCATAGCACCCCATGAAGTACCTGTAGAAAAACTACAAAATCCAGATGCCTCCAACTCCTCAGACAAACTAAATGGTAGTCCAGGTTCCCATAAAGTTCAGACAACTTTGGTCAAAAACACCACAAAAGCACAACAGAAAGCCATGAATTGGCACAATCTATTGATATATATATTTCCAGTTTTCAAAGTGGTAACTTTCTACAACAGATTCCATGCCAGATCAGATACTGTTTTCTTTCTAAACTCAAGATAAATGCTGTGACATGCTCCAGCTACTCAACAGAAGTATTATTACATGCTTGCACCTAATCTCTATTTATACTGCCAGATAATAAGGTAGATGCACATTCAGTATGAGTGGACAAGGAGTGAAGGGCTCTTATGGTGTTAAAATCATTGACTTGCCATATAATACATTCAGACTGGGAATTAAGTCAGATTAAGAGGTTGCAGATCAATCATACTGCATAGGAAAGTCTCAAAGAGTGCATTTAATCATCTTTCTGCTGGCCTACCTGCAGTCAGAGGCCATGCAGAGAAAGACAAAGGGTTATGAAGGGCTGTGATCAAAGGATTACTTCCAGCTATCCACAGGTACTTCAGCTAAAACCAGGTGCTACTCACACACCCACATGCTAATGATGTAAACCATCAGGAAAGACTAAAGTCTTAAATGCCATAGACATCTTATTTTGCACCTTTCTTTTAACTTTAACATAATAATTACTGTAAAGAGCCAGGTTTCAAAATCTTAACAATCCTTGAAAGAATACACAGAAATCAAGAGCAACCTGTTTTTACAAGGCAGAATTTTCACAGATCCCACAGGAGGAGTTTGAGAACTGCATATGCACAGAAAGAGTGACCTGGGGACAGAGTGCCTGCCCAATGAAAGGCAACTGAACACAGCCTTTCAGGACAAGTGGTCTTTATTCTGGGGTTTGTAGGTAAGAACATTCTTCTCTCTCAAAAAGGAAAAAAATGACAGTTTGATCACTAGAACAAATCTGACATACAAAGGAGCATCACTCCAAGCCCTCTTCCCACTGCTGCTGTCCTCTGCTCCTCACATCACAGCACTGCCCAGGCTGCAGCACACAAGGCACTCTACAGGCAGTGTAGGACACGAGGGCCCCTGCTCCACTCATCTCTTCAGCCTGGGCACAGCTTCCTGCCCCCCTTCAGAAGGGAAAACTCAAGCAGGCCCTCTCTGTAACAAACTACTTCCACTTTTCTGCAAAAAACTAAATTAGCTCTTTCTCTATATAGCAATACATACACAGTGCATACAACAGAAGCTAAGGCTGATGTCAGAGTCTATGTTTAAATTTTTCTTCGAAAATACAAACTAGAATTAAATAAATATATCCTCTTTCTAGCTATAGAACAATGCAGCAGATTAAATTTAAAAATCTGACCAAGACACTCAGGGAACAAGAAAATTAACATTCTAATGGCTAACACTAAATGAGCTTCACTTTACCACAAGTACATAACCAAATAGTCTTACTATTTCTCTACCTTAGCTTTCACTGAAAACACAGAAATAAAAACCTAGTGCCTTTCTGGATTTGTACTAAAGTAATTCACTCTCTTTATGGTACCTCCTTTTACTGCTCATGCTTCTAAAATACTCACCACTACATTTTTTTATTGCCTGTTAAGTAGTCTCTCTGGAATACTTCCTGTGCTAGCACAATGCATGCTAAAAGGAAATCAAATAAGCCAGGTGTTTTATTCCATCAGAGCTGAATGCTCTCTCCCCCAAAGGAAGGATAAATTCATCCTCATTGTCCCAGCTAGTGAAGAAAAAAAGTAGAGGTACCATGCACTGTCTTGCCACTGAGTTGGAAGTCCTACTAACAGATGTGGTTGCTTCCAAGCTCAAGTCCAAAGGAAATCAAAGTATAAAATCCTGCCTACCCCATGTTATGGTCTATCACTGTTAGCATCTTTTCAATATTCTTTACTATCATTACAATACAAGAAGACAGACATAAGTTCAGAACACATGCATGAAGGACTACATCAACATTTACTTGGAAGAGTAATACTCCAGCTTTCCTTTCAGTCCTGTTTTCTCATTAAACAGAGTGGCACCAACTGTAAGCACAAATGTGCCTGAAAATTCCTTGCTTCAGGAAACACCAAACTGTATCAGACTAAAGGACAAGCAAGTTCAGTGTCCTGTCTCCAAATGCAGCCAATAGCAGTTACTTCAGGAGGAACACACAAAGAAAATTTATTTCCCCAGCATGCTCTTCTAATTTCTAGGGTGTTTTAGCAGACATGAGGTTTGGCAGCATATTACTTTTTAATCTCTCAATTCAATTTTCTTGCCTGAGTTTGACTAACTGTGTCTGAACTTCTGTAAACTTTTGAAATTCAGAATTTCCAGCTGCAAGAAGTTCCAAAGTTTAACTACACATTGTGCAAAACAGTATACCTCCTTGGCTCATGCTGAGCCCCACCAATGAATTAATCTGACACACCTCTAATTCTAGGGTTTGAACTGATTCTTTCTTGTTCATCTTTACCTATTCACTTCTTCCTTATCCACCCGTGACATTACTCATTGCTTCAGATCTCTACAAGACTTCCAAATCAATCCTCTTGCCAGCCTAAAAGGTAACAAAGCATTTAGGAGTTCCCTCCACAGCCATCACTCCTTGTTGCCAGGAGCAGACCTGGTGCTCTCCTCTGTTCTGTTCCCAGTTGCACTGTACACTTTCCATAGCAGGGGGGATGAGACCATGGCTACACAGAGCATTCCAGACAGAAGCAACATCATGGTACAATAATATTTTCTCCTTTGTTTTCTGTGTCTTTTGTAATCATGTCCAATGTTGACTCTGCTCATTTGACATGTTCTTACAGAGTTATCTCATTGTACAGAAAAAAGAAAACCACTCCTCCTGAAGGACAACAACCAGCAGAAACCCAACTGCTGCATACCTATAATTAGGATTGTTTTTCTGTGTGCACACCAGATTAGATCTTTCAACCCTTAATTTCATCTGCCATTTTGTCATCCTGTCATTCAGCATGTCATGGTCTAGTTCTGCAGCTTTCTGCTGTCAGCAGTCACTGACAGTGCCCAGGAAAAGCTACCACAATTAGAGCAGTTGCACAGTGCTTGTTGTGGCTTTGTGACATCACACACTCAGGTGTCAGTACAGAGGAGGAACCAGATGCAGCAACCTGCCCACCAAAAATTCTGCACAGCAAAGCAAGTCTGAAATCCCCAACCATTTTTAAGGGCCACAGCAAGAAGTTTTGGTAGCTGAAGTATGATAGTGTTACACCCCCCTCACCGCCCAGGACGAGTATCTGGGTACCCCCCTGTCCCCACAGGGTCTTTGAAGCTGATGGTCTGAACTTATCCCTAAAGGAGGAATGGGAGGAAGGAACTCCTTCTCTCAAGAGAGAATAAACATAGGTCTAGAAAAAGAGGAGCATGCCCAGAGGGGACTCAAAGCAGGCAGGGCACACGCTCCCCCATCAGCTTCAAGTTCCTTTCTGAAACAATGCCTGGTATTGGCAGCAAAACGTCTTGACAGCAAAGACACTGACTCCAGGGAACAGCGCAGGGCCAGCCTGTTAGTGGTGGCGCCAGGCTGGAGTGTGGCCCTGCACCGAACAGGTCTGATCTGACACCCTCAGTACCTTTTCACAGCCCCTCCACCAGAGCTGTATTTCACTAGCACTAAAGAGAGCTGTAATGACAAGACACTGGCATTTACTTTCCTTGTTGGATGTAGTTTTTTATCAGGACGTGAATTTGGGCACACTCAAAACTTTTTCCAGCGCTCAAAGTGTTCAGGAAATAAAAGTTACACGGCCATGTTTGTTGCTCATCACAAACCACTAGCAAGGACAAGGAAGAGATGCCAGAGTGGTGAGACATTGGCACAAGTTGCCCAGAGAAGCTGTGCGTGCCTCATCCCTGGAAATGTTCAAAGCCAGGCTGGAAAAGCCCTTGAGCAACCCGGTCTAGTGGGAGATGTCCTTGCCCACCGCAGGGGGAGCTGGGACTGAATGATCCTTAAGGTTCATTCCAAGCCCTCAACATTCTGATTCTGTGGTAGCTCCCCAGCAGCCCAACTTTCCCTGCGGTGTCTCCTTTACTCAGCGGGCATCCGGGCCCGGCCCCGCGCTGTCCCCGAGGAGAGGAACAGGCACAGTGGCTGTCCCGGGCCACAGGGCGAGCCCGACGCGGGCAACCCCGGTCTCACGGCGCCCACCCCGGGCACGGCGGGGCGGGGACGCACGGAGGCACCCGGCTACCACAGGCCGAGCTGGGCCGGGCCCGGGGCCGCGGCGGCGGCTCCTCACCTTCACCAGCCACATGCCCGTGTTCTGCTTGGCGCCGGTGAGGTCCAGCTCGCCCTTGTCGCTCATGGCGGGGCAGCGGCCGGGCCGAGCCGGGCGGCGGACGAGACGAGAGGCGGCGAGCGCGGCAGCGGAGCGCACCGGCGCACGGCGGCCCGCGAGGGACAAACCTCCTCCGCTCGCACTGCACGGCGGGGCGGGCCCTCGCTGGGTCAGGGCCGCGGGTTCGAGTCCCCGCCCTGGCGGGACCGTGGGAAGGGGCGGGAATCCGTGATGGCCGCAGGAAGTTCCAGTGTCACAGGATATCCTGGGTTCGAAGGCACCCGTAACGATCATCGCATCAACTTCCCGGTCCTGCACAGGACGTGCTCAAGTGTCACACCACGTGCCTGAGAGCATTGTCCAAATGCTTCTTGAGCTCTGTCAGGCTCTGCTGTGTCCCTCCCCTGGGGAGCTGTTCCAGTGCCCAATCACCCTCTGGGTGAATTACCTATTCCTGATATCCGGCCCAAACCTCCCTTGAGAAATTTCAGGCTGTTCCTCCAGAATGGTCATGAGAGAAAAGAAATCAGTGTCTGCCCCTCCTTTTCCCCTCATGAGGAAGCTGTAACTGCGATGAGGGCTCCCCTCGGTCTCCTCCAAGTAAACAGACCAAGGAAGCTCAGCCGCTCCTCATACAGCTTCCCTGCAACACCCTTCACCATCATTGCCCTCCTTGGGCCGCTCTCCAACAGCTCAATGTCCTCCTTACACTGCAGCACCCAAAACTGCACACAGGATTCAAGGTGAGGCAGCACCAGCGCAGAGCCGAGCAGGAAGTTATTCCCTCCTGGTACCAGAAGAGTTATCCCAGCATTTGATCTAGGGGAACTGGAGGAGAAGCCTGGACAGAGGAGGCATCATGGGTACCATGACTGTGCCCTTCTGTTTGGGAGGGAAATGGTGGCTAGCGGAGCAGCTCCTGTGAAAGGGATCAGAGCATCATGGTGTGCCCAAAGGCCACAATAGTGAGGAAAACACAGCTGGTGAATGAGTTCCTGGGAATAAAAAGTAGAAATTTAAGCTTAGCTTCTCAGAAAGGGAACTCATGAGGAAGTGTTGGAACAGGCTGTCTGAAGATAGGAGAGCATCTCAGACACTGAAAATGTCCTATGTCAAGAGAGAGAAAGCACCTGCCCATCCTACTTTGAGATGTGGGATTTGGCTTAGAAAGACCTAAGTCCTTATTTTACAGCTGTCTCTATCCCTGGGGAAGTTTTCCCCATTTGCAGTTTAACCTTGTTATCTACCTTCTGTCCACTCTGGGCACAACAAAGACTTGGACACGCTGGAGACACGGGCATAGGTTGCCCAGAGAAGCTGTGGATGCCCCATCCCTGGCAGTGTTCAAGGCCAGGTTTGCCAGGGCCCTGAGCAACCTGATCTAATGGCAGGTGTCACTCTCCACTGCAGGGGGTTTGAGCTAGATGATCTCCAAGGTCCTTTCCAATCCAAACCACTCTATGATTCTATGGTATGGAATGCATTTTATTATCTTCCTCTCTTCTTTACTTCATCCTTTTACTGAGATATAGCCCTTTGATTTGCCTCCTCTCACACTAAATAACTTCAGTTTGTTCAATTCTGTCTCATAGGTCTATTTTCTAGACCTCTGGCTTATGTTCATTGCTCTCTGAATTCCCCCCAGGAGAAATTTACATCCTCTTTGAAGCTTGGTTGTTCAACATTGAAGGTTATACTCCATCTGAGTCTGTACCAGCAGCAAGCAGAGGATTTTTCTGGTACAATATGCAAGAAATTGCTCATCTAGCTCACAAAAAAATGATCTCAGTATTATATCTCAGATATGAGAGTCTGCCTTTCTAATTATAGGCAATCATCTAGGTAACCAAGGAGGACAACATTTTTATATGTATCTGAAGCAATAATGGCTAACACTGAACTATTATGTTGACTAGGGTTAGTTACATTTTAAATTAATCACATTTTAAAATTGCTTTTGTTTTTACATTGGAACTGTGTTTGTCTGCAGAACTCAGCTGGGAGGGTGGACAGGTCATAGGTCTTATATTGTTAGTCAACTTCCACTGAAAATTCAGTTTTCTTTAAGACAACCTTACATAGACCTACTAGAGGTTCCTCAAATGCTAATAAAAATGGAAGTGGGTGCATCTCAACAGTAGTAAGACCAGCCTCATTTTCTGGGACTGTGTCACCCCAAATATTGTAGGTATAAGACCCTTTGGTTTTGTTCACCTGGAAAAAGCATGGATCTACACAGACAAACACCATTGCTTTCCAGTCTGCTTTGGATCCTGCTCAGAAGGTCATAGAACAGTTTGGGTTGCAAGGAACCTTAAAAACCACCTAGTTCCAAACCCCCTGCTCTGGGCAGGGATACTTTCCACTAGACGAGGTTGCTGAGGATTCCATCCAACCTGGCCTTGAACACTTCTAGGCATAAGGCATCCACAATTTCTCTGGATGATTTATTCCAATGTTTCACTACCCTCATTTGGAAACATTTCTTTCTGATGTCCAATGTAAACCTATCTCTTTAAAACCATTGCACCTTGTCCTTTCACTACAGCCCTGAATTAAAAGTATCTCTCTTTCTTTCTTGTGAGCCCCTTTAATGTACTGAAAGGCCACAAAAATATCACCCTGGGGCTTCTGTTTCTCCAGGCTGAACACACCCAAATCTCTCAGCCTGTCTTCATAGGAGAGGTGCTCCAGCCCTCTGACCATTTTAGTTTCCTTCCTCTGGACCTTATCTGATGGGTTGGTGCCTGCCATGTGCTGGGAACCCCAGGGCTGGATGCAGTACTCCAGGAGGGATCTCAAATGTTCCCCCGGGATAAACACTGAATTAACAACAAAGTTGTCCCTCTGCCACTGCTCCCAGCTCAGTCTGTGCACTCAAATCACATGCACTGCTACGTTTCAAAAGAAAAAAGCAGTGCACTGGATGTCTCTAACAGGGGTGACATTTGCAGCAAAGCATTGTCGTGGGGGTTCAGATGGGCCTGTGCTCCACCAGATGGGTGGAGAGGAGCTCCACTTGCAAAGAGCCCAGTAGCAGGTGACAGGAGCAGGGCTGACCACCTTAGGACTCCTTAGAGAGGGAATCCATGAGGAGTCATCGCTCATATTCCAAGTGTAAGTGACAATAGCAATAACCTCTGACAATTGGGATGGCTAAAAGCCTGACAATTGGGGTGGCTCAGCTGGCAGCCCAGAGGGGAAGGCGGCCAGGCAGAGATCTCTCCTGGCTTCCTCCAGGCAGCCTTTCCATAGCTGTTTCCATGGAAACTGAATTTAAAGGGACAACAAGCAGGAAAAAGAGTGCATTTTCATTAATTCCTCATTTAAAATCTCAACCTTGTGTTTGCCAGGGACACATTTAGTGCCATGGAGGAGGACCCAGGGGCCAGCTGTTGAGCTGCAGAGCTGTGTGTTAGTCACCCATTTTCTTCTTGCTTGCATGGGAATAGATGTGTCTGAGAAGAGGGATGGCCAAATTCAGACTTGCACACCCTTTCACTCTTTATTTTCCCCTTGTCCAGTTAGGTGAGATGAAGAGTTAGCAGTGTCATCAGCAGCCACACAGCATTTCTCTTCATCCATTTTAGGAACAGGCTAATTGATGCAGCCTGGTGGTGCTCGGTGAAAACCAGCACAGCAGAAGATGCAAAGGGCCTGGTGCTGCCCTGTTGAAGCTGATGGGAGTTTGCCATTTAGGAACCCATGTGGTTTCCTCAAAGCCCAGCAAGAACTAGGGAAGATGTGCTCCTGGGAGCTGGTGGTGCCACAAGACATCAGTGATGGGCACCATCAGAGAGGTTTCCACATGCTGGAGGAGCTGAGTGGTGCCCACATCTGGATGCTCCCAGAGTTCAGCACTGTACACCAGTGCTGTGCTGGGCATCCATGGGGTCAAAATATTTGGGTCTGGAGCCAGAGCTGAGACCTGCTGCGAGGCACAGAGGGAATCTCCTGCAGAAGCTGATTTTGGTTTGGGAGTATTGAGCCAGGAAACTATTCCACCAATAGCTGATGCTCTAACTTCACTCATTCCTGCCTGCTAATCTCCTCATCAACAAATTAAAGTGAGCAGGGAACTCATGCTGGAAGAGGAAAGCTACTGGAGGGAGATTGTTACAACATTGCTTGTCCTACTCTGTAACAAGTACAACACAGCATCTGCCCGCCAGCAAGGATCTCTCCTGTATTCCAAATACCTGGATTTTCAGTCAGCAAAGACCTCATGGACTTATGAGGGTGCAAGAAATACTCAAACTTATATCTCAAAACTACTACTATTGCTTGAACTGCCTGAGTAAGAGGAAGGCAAACTTTTGCCATCTTCAACTGTAATGCATCATTCTCTTGTTTGTGGCACAGTTGGTCTGTGTAAGCTGGAAAAAAGAAATCTGGAAATTTTTCCATCCATCTGGAAAAAAGAAATAATCTGCAAAGATGAAAAGAACATCTGGGCAGATCATGATTGTTTATTTTTGAATAAGAGAAAAGAAATTCTGTGTAACTTACTCCAAAACAGGGCATGGCCCATCAAACTGCATATCTATTTCCTGAGGCAGCAAAGAATTCTCAGTGTGTCTTTTTAAGACCAAAATATATGTTGGAGCTTTTGTGTTTTCAAACTGCTTTTGAGCAACATGTTAATAACAGACTTGTTTACTCCAAGCTGTTCTGTGGCAGAGAGTTGGAAAACATCAAGCACAGGGCTGAGCTCCTACTTCATTACAATCCTAGGCAGTATGAAATCTTCAACATGGCATTTCTGCTGCAAAACACAACACAAAAAGGCAGTTCTGAACAGAGGGCAGCCTTCATTCACTTATTTATAATTTTTAATTCTTTCTATATATTTACAGCCACACATTTTTATCTATGCTATGTATTGGAGAACACTTAGTTTTCACACTAATGGCACTGCACATCTGCCTGCAGTTCCAACCCATACCATGTCTCCCATCATATTGACAGTGTGCAGTAAATTTGACTGCAGGCAGCTTGTATCTTGCTTGTTAGGATTTTCACCATATCAAGGAAGGAGTGGGAGTGGGGGAAGAGAGAAAATTGAAAGGCGCAACTGCAAATTATTTTTTTTCAAAGGAAGAAAACC